TGTGTACGCCAGTCGATCCATTGTTTTGTGAATCATTCAGGCAGAAACCATATGAATTTTTTATCCCTATTGGCTATTTTAAAGAGTTGGTTTTTTATGAAGACTATACGACTATACGACTATATATGAATGGTATAATTGGGATGCATTATACCATTGTAATAATATAAATGAAGCTTGTCAAATATTTTACAGCTATATGTATCAGTATTTAGATATTGTTGTTCCTATGAAGGCTGTCAAGTGTTCCTACAAGTTCATAATTTGGTTCTCAATAAAACTTACAGATCTTATTATTTAAAAGAAAAAAGCTCATCTGAGGTTTAAATTATCTAAATCAAACGAGGACTACTTATTGTTCTCTAATCTGCGTGATCAATGTATAGTTGAACATACACTTTGTCAGAAACAACATTTTTCGTCTCTTGAAAAAAATTTTAGTAATAACCCCAGGGAATTTTGGGAATACATTGGCAGACTTCATAAATCTTCGAGTTACCCCCAAGAAATGTATCTCGGTGACAGAAGGGCACAAGGCAATATTGAAATTGCTAACCTTTTTGCTGAGTTCTTCTCTAGTGTATATGAGAAAGATAAAGGTGTTCCCACTCCAGATTTTGAAAACTGTGTCAGACACATTGACCCTGTAAACCTAATTCAAGTTGACACTATATCAATGTTTGATGAATTAAGAAAACTTACAAACAAATTCTTCTCGGGCCAGATGGAATACCACCGGTATTATTAAATCACTGTCCATGCTCTCTTACTATGCCCCTAAAATATCTTAGTTATCTCTTATGAGTGAGTTCCCTTCTTTCTGGAAGAACAGTTATATTGTACCAATTTTTAAGTCAGGTTAAAGGGAAGATATTGAAAAATACAGAGGAATTTGTATACAGTCAGCAATTCCAAAACTTCTCGACAAGCTAGTGACTTCTCACTTATCAAAACTAACAAATAATATAATAATACCCCAACAGCATGGCTTTCAAAGAGGGGGAGCACAGTGTCAAACTTGTTGATCTACCAAAATTATATATTGGGTGCCTTCGAGAGGAAGTACCAGGTGGACAGCATCTATACTGACTTCTCAAAGACATTCAATAAAGTAAATCATCGTTATTTAATCAGTAAATTAGGAGCCATTGGTATAGCTGGCAAATGGCTTGATTGTACTATAGATTGGTAAGATAAATGGTGTGTTGTCTCAATCTGTTGACATCCTCTCTGGAGTACCACAGGGGTCACATTGTGGTCCTCTACTTTTTGTCCTCTTTGTTAACGATGTTCAGAAAGTCATTAAGTATTCACAATTTCTCAACTTTGCTGATGATAAAATAATTTATAAAGTCATTACTTGTCAGTATGATCAAATTCAGCTGCAAGAGGATCTCAGCAGATTTAGCGATTGGTGCAAACTAAATTAATTAAAATTGAACATTGACAAGTGTTGTGTTATTACTTTTCACAGGAAGCAAACAACTTTAAATTACGATTATAACATTGATAACACTTAGCTGTCTAGGCAGGACTGTGTTAAGGATTTAGGTGTTTATTTTGATTGCAAATTAGCATTTCATAAGCATCTAGGGGTCACAGTAAACAGTGCATTTAAACAATTAGGGTTTATAACTAGAAATACTTCTCAATTTTCATGTTTTGTTTTACCAATTCTTTTTAATAGTCTCATTCGCTCCAGACTAGAATATGCAATAGTTGTATGGGGACCTTACTATCAAACATCTATAGATAAGCTTGATCGTGTTCAGCATAAATTTGGTAAACACTATCATTACCGTAGTGATTTTCATGACCTCTCTGTCCCATACAGTTATAGTATGATAGCTGATCACTTGAAAATGGTTTTTATGAATCGGTGAAAAGATTATTTTTGCCTAATATTCCTTTACAAAACTGCTAATAATTTGATAAATTGCCTTGAACTCTTAGATCAATTAGGTCTTAACACTCTTCATGGAACTAGGCATACCTCGTTCTTTCATCTACCATTTCATCAATTTAATTATGAATACTTCAAGCTTCTTACTCATATGGTGAGACTATATAATAGGTACCAAAGTGATATGGACTTATTTTTCCAGTCCTTAGAACAATTTAAAAATGTGATAAAGAGACTGCTATTTGTTTGATATTAGTTTGTATTCAATAATTATTAATTTTTATTAAACTTTACCAATTATTTTTCAATGTTATGCTTACTTTGAAAAATTTTATATATTAAATTTTGTTCCAATGTAAATGGTATATCCGTTAATAAATAAATAACTAAATAAACCCTGGATTCCAAACTCAATTGGAACACTGACACAAACAACATAATCACAAGGTATGTGACTCTCCTGGAACTGCAAATGAGCTGTAGGTAACACCTGGGGGCTGAAACCCAAGGAAATCCGTTGGTTATACACATCTGTGATATGACTAGCAGTTACAGTACTTCAGTGAAAAAAGACTGCTTTGCAATATTATGTGACCTCTCTCACTGAGGTCTTTATATATAAAAAAAATCAGATTTAATGTGTTTTATCATTTATATGTGCAGAAAATAACAACAAAATCATTTGCAATTTGTTAGATAGTAAATTACCAGAACTGCAAACTTAACAAATCAATGTATCTTCAATGTTTGGATTAAAGGGCATTGTGAGTTAAAAGAGAATGAAGTAGTGAATCAAGAAGCTAAAAAGGAAGAAGAAGAAGGGAGTATTTAAGGTACAAATGTCCTCGCGATGAAATTCCTAGCCACATAAAGCCCATACTACTAACAGAATGGAAAGAAATGCATAGAAACAGTCAAAAAGGACAATTTTATAATATAAACATAGTTACCAAACACCTTGTTAATCTTTGTTCTCTAGATTATCAGGAAGTATGTGCAAATTAAGATTTAACTGTTTTAACTCGTCAGTACCATTTTAAAATAACATAAATGTGATTCTCCTAATTCTCCAAGCAGAGAAGAATGTACAACAGAATACATGATATAAGGCTTATCTAAATTAATTAATAAAGTGAAATTCAACAAAAATCACCAAACCATAAGTAAGATTGGAAGATTATAATGTTTATCAAATTTTATAGAAGCATATTTTATGTATTAGTTTAAAATTATAAACTTTTTTTTTCCCTGTGTTTAATGCTCTAAGTCTATATGAGGTACACCTGTCCTGGCTAAGTGATATGATCAATCCCTGAGTGTCTAATATGTATTCCAGTATGATTCCAGTCTAGTATCCATATTTATATTACAAAAACAATGATATAAAAAATAAATAATATATGAAAAAAGAAAGATAAAAGTAAAACAATACAATAAAAGAACACAATCGAAAATATGATGAATCTATAAAAAAGATAAAAAACTGATTAATTATATATCTTTGTAAAATTAGAGTGGATTATGAATATATAAACAACAAACTAACTAAACGTACAAAATATAAAATAATCTCATAAAGGTAAGATGGCAATTGGTTTGATTGGACATTAACTCAAAATTCAATAATCCTCAATCACACACATGTATGCAGTAAAGTTTATACATTAATTAATTCTACAATATCATACTATAATGAGAGTTAGTATTGTTAGTAACTTAATTCACAGATTAAAATAAGTGATTACAGTAGAAATAATAGTATTGACTAGTTGCTTGTTGAATAATATTATTGGTACCCTTTCTTACCTAGAAGTTCTTCCCTTGGTTCATTTTTCAAATTTTCCAGATCTATTGATGTGGATAACTGAGGCTGGATATATCTTGATGAATCTATTTGATTATAATCATCAAACTCTTTCTTAATTTCAACTTTAACTTCCATAGCTATTAAATTGTAAGAAAAATTATAGATTAGAAAAATAGGTTGAGTTTAGTTTACCGAAAGTACAAGCTGATTATAGAAGCAAAGCAAATGTCAGTCAAACATGGAACAAAAAATTTCGGTATAGCAGTGTTGGCACGTTTTTATAATGTAGGTGCTGTATGCTTTAACTATAAAAAGATAAAGCTTTAGAAAAGTACATTTTGTTATATTATGTTATGAATTCTGCAATTTTTGATCTATATAAAACAAGAATGAGTAAATATTTGTTTCTTTGGAGATTAATTGTAGTTAATTATTATAAATTTTATTGGCATTTGGATTATGATATATTAAGGAATAGATTTGGCAATCGTCAAATCAGCAGTTGCCAGATTGCAACAGATGTTTGCAATTAATCTCGAAAGAGACTCGTTATTGCTTCATATAAATTAAACATTTTAGAGTTTATAAAATAGTATTATCAAAATGTACTTTTTAAAAGTTTTCTAAAGCATACAGCATATGCATTAAAAAACATCCCAACACTGTCAAACGACCAAAAAATTTACTTTTTATAGCTTTCTCTATTTATATTTGATTCCAGTGCTATGATTCTTAAATCCGGTCCTGATGCGACGCTTGGGGCAAACCGGCAACATATCGGCCGTTCTCCCGTAAGAAATACATTGCCTATCTTACCTGCACTGCATTCCAACTGTGACCTACTGTATAATTAATTTTTGAACAAAAATTTTATTTCGTTGTCGTTTTTTAAATAAAATACTTTGCTCGTGAAGTAAATGAATATTTTTATATCAAGTTAAAGCTAGTTTTTTTTCTTATATAATGATAAGGTTTCCTGAGAAAAAAATGGTTGCAAATTAAGGTTGCCAGCTGTTAAAAACTCGAGGTATCAAAGATAAAGTAAAAGACAACTAGCGCGCAATGTTACTGGTTTAAAGTGTCAGTTGTGTGAGGTTTTAAAAGCATGGTCGATAGATATACAAAGATATACATATTGTATATTATATCCTATATCGCATGCTCTTTCCCGATTGATTATAAAGACATGGCAACACTGCAAAACACAAATATTTTGTTCAACATTTTTTTGTTGACATTTGCGGCTATATTCTCGTTGCCTTATTATTATGATGTCCGTGTCCGATATTTTTCCTAACCTAAATCGGTACATCCAATAGACTTAAATCGGTAGGTCGGCGGAAAAATTGGGAAAATGATGACAATAATCCAGAATAACCAGTCATGTTTACTCCCAATACTCTCTACCATGTTTTACTCTACCAGGAATTGCAGTAGTAAACATTTATCTTCGAATTCAATTAGAAAAATATTTTTTGATTATTTCATTAAAGAAAATGGTCATAAATTTGTAAAGTCTAGCCCGGTTGTACCATACTGTGATCCCACTGTAGCGTTTGTAAATGCAGGAATGAATCAAGTAAGCTATTATTTAAACTTGTAATCAACTTAATTAACACATATAAAGTTAAGTGGTTAGAAAATAAACAAAAATATTACCTTTTTCGAAATTAGTCATAAGTTAGTCTGAACTTCAACTTTATGTTAATATCCAATTTGATTCATTATCTTTACATTAAGTAAATATCATTTAGTTTCCTGCCAGCAACTGTTCCCACTATTGTTTAGTGATCTTTCACTATATTTCAGTTTATTTCTCTCCTGAATTTATATTTTATGTTGTGGTCTTATGAGACCATTTAAAAGTGAACTACAATTATTCTCCAAATAATCGCTCTGTTCTTTTACAATTTTATTTTTATTTTACCAATATCATTTATTTTTTACTTAATGTTTTTTATAGTTTAAAGGCATTTTGCTTGGCAACCAAAAACCTCAATTTACAAGAGTGGCAAATTCTCAGAAATGTATTAGAGTAGGTGGAAAACATAATGATTTAAGTATTGTAGGAACTGATGGGTACCATCATACATTCTTTGAAATGTTAGGAAATTGGTCATTTGGTGACTACTTTAAGGTATGTATGTTGAAGAATAATGTTTTATTTCTGTTACTAAATAGATCAGCCTAACAATTAGGCAGTTAAAAAGAAAAATACCAATTTTACTATACAATTGGTCATGGTATATCTAATTGTAGTAATCTAGTTTAATCTAATTTTTACTTTGTTTTCAAATAAAAATGATTTTTATTTTGATACCAATTAAAATCAAAGATCAACAACTCCAAATTAAACAATAATTTTGATATTTAAACTGTTACTAATATAATATCAATTGTGCTTTATAATTTTAGCCTGAAGCATGTAAATTGGCATGGGATCTTCTTACAAAAGTTTATAAATTGCCCAAAGAAAGACTCTATGTTACATATTTTAAAGGAAATAAAACATTGGGTTTAGAGGAAGATTTAGAAACAAAAGAAATTTGGCGGCAAATAGGGTAGAGTATATTAGTGATATTAAATGTATAGGATTTAAGAAATTAAAGATTTTTGGTCAAATAGGCCTTTGTGTGAGTGCACACTCATTAATCATGGCTATTTTTACTTAATTAGTAGCAGGAGATTGTTCTTCTTCCAGGACTCTTTCTGGCAAGTATTTTATCTTGTATTATTAGTTTTAATGTTCATTATCTTGTTGTCACTTTTCATTCCATGGTCTAGATCAGAGTGTTCCAAACTTATCTAAACCTCGAACACTTTTTGCTAAAAAATTTGTTCGCGACCCCCCAATTTCCCCCCACTCATTTATTCAATATTATTTGACAGAAATAGCGTGCCTAATTTAAAATTATCTGATGGTTTCTCAAATTTAATTTTACTTTACTGTTTAAGTTTAAATCAAAAACAATTATTTTATTTTAATACAATTATTTTAATGATTGCGATCTGTCCCACTAGTAATTAGTAGTAGGTACTTCTGCCAGAATAGCATTTACAATAAAAATAAATAATAAGAAGTTGACTACACATTGTATACCGCAACATATTAGCTTGTGTTTACATTGCAAAACTCTTCCATGATAATTGCGAAAGCGCTCGCTACTAGATGGCACTCTGGAACGTTCTCGTAGCCTCGTTTTGGCTTTATATAATCGGCGATGCGCAACAAAACCTCAGTTCAAATCCAAACAGCCTATGGTGGTGAACGCGGTGTTGAAGTAATGAGTATATATTTTACGACTTACGCATTCCCATTTACGAATTTACGTCTACGTTAAATTATAAATTATGGATAAGTTTTTAAAAAGAAGTGCAGAACCATCTACGTCTGAAAGTGGCAGTAGCAGCAATAAAAAGAAAAACAGATTCTACATTGATGAATATCTTAAATATGGTTTTACCGTTATTTCCAATAAACCACAATGTGTTATTTGTGACAAGTCTTGTCAAAAGAAAGCATGAAGCCATCAAAGTTACTTCGACATTTAAATAGCAAACATCCAGATAAAAAAGACAAGCCCATAGAATTCTTTCAAAGAAAGCTGAACATCCTTCACAAACAGCAAGATAGTTTTCCCTTGGCACCACTACTAATGAAAAAGCATTATTAGCAAGTTATAAAGTTGCTTATCGTGTTGCCAAAACTAGTAATCCGCACACAATTGCTGAAAATCTGATTTTTCCAGCAGCTGTTAAAATGGTACATATAATGTGTGGAAAAGAGAGGCTGCAAAATTAAATACAATACCTCTGTCAAATAATACTATCCAAAGAAGAATTAGTGATATGGCAGAAGATATTCAAGCGCAAGTTGTGGAAAATCTTAATAAATGCATGTACTTCTCTCTTCAAATGGACGAATCCACAGATATATCTAACTGTGCCCAATTCATTACGTTTGTAAGATATGATACAAATAATGGCATTCAAGAAGATATTTTATTTTGTTCCCCATTGGAGACCAATACCACTGGAAAATGTTTACTCGACACTTTTGTGAAACATACAAGTAAATATGATATTGACTGGGATAAATTTATTGCTATATGCACAGATGGCGCTAAAGCTATGACAGGACATAAATCTGGTCTTGTCAAGTCTCAAATTGCAAGAAATAATGCCTAATGCCAAATGGAGACATGTCCAAACGTGTAATGCGTCCAAAGCTTTACCTCCTGAAAGGGACTGTGTTATGGAAACCATCAATAACGTTGTAAATTCCATTAAAGGAAAAGCTTTGCAGAACCGTATTTTTAGATAAATTTGCGAAAACATGGGTGCTTTATTTGAAAATCTTCTCTATCGCACCGAAGTAAGGTGGCTTTCAATGGGCAACGTCTTAAAAAGAATATTCTACTTAAGAGCAGAGCTTTTAATGTATTTGAAAGATGAGAAGTCCCCATATGAAAAAATGGTATTTCCCCATTCTGTGGGGTGGTCCCCATTCTGTTAAAATGGTATATCCGTTAATTAAATAAATAAATAAAATCAATTTTCCGATCCTATTTGGCTTCTGAAACTAGGTTTCCTTGCTGATATTTTCGAGCAATTAAATATTTTGAACAGTAATTTACAAGGTCGCGACATTAATATAATTACAGCCACAGATAAAATTAAGGCGTTTCTAAGAAAAATCGATTTATGGTCGATCTCACTTGGCAAAAAACAACTTGATTCATTCCAATGCCTTCAGGAAATTATGGAAAATGTATCCAATTACAGTGCTACAAATTTTGAACAAGTTTTTGCTGACATGCATGTTACTTTTCTCAATTTAAAACAACAGCTCTGTGATTATTTGCCTGAAGAAATTCAAAACAGTTACGACACTTTCAGATGGATACTAAATCCGTTTTTAGCCAATTCCTTTCAGCATGTTGAAATACCAATAAACATGAAAGAAAAACTTATTGAAATATCAAGTGATGGAATGTTGAAGCTCCAATTTTTTTCCCAGAACTCGGACCAATTTTGGACCGAAAAGATGCAGGAATACCCCCAATTGGCGAGTGAAGCTGTAAAATGTTTGGTTCCATTTGTAACATCATATTTGTGTGAGTTAAATTTCTCGTCTATGACTACCATTAAAACAAGAGTTAGAAATCGTCTCGTACTTGAAAATGATATAATTGTGTGTGTCTCAAATACACAGCCTAGATTTGAAAGATTAGTTTCACAGAAACAGGCGCATAGCTCTCATTAAGATTATAATATTTGACTTTGTTTTACTCTTTTATTTTTACGGACTTTAATATTTAGTTTTATATTTCGTCTGATAATTAATTGTTAATTTCTATTTACGGCGTTGTTAAAATAAAAATACATGATCTAACAAAGTGGTGCTTTTGTCTTATTTTGGAAATGTTCGGCGAGCTCCCTAGTACCTCATGGCGACCCCCCAGGGGGTCGCGACCCCCCCCACTTTGGGAAACACTGGTCTAGATATTTGCGCTTGTGTTTTTGGACTTTTCGAAAGACTTCTACATTTTTATGTAGTCTTCTTAATACTTATTTATTTGATATATGATCCTTCCATGGAATCCAGAGTATCATTATATAAAGCTACATTTCAAAAGCCTTCAGTTTTTTGTGGATAGATTTTTGTAAGGATCTATGTTTCAGCAGTAAAGAGAAGTACTGGCAAAATATGAGGTTTAATTTTTCTTTTAAAGTCATGACTACGAAATAAGTTTGACATCCTCCAAAAAGATAATCTTGTTTTCTCGATTTTACTCCTAATCTCTAAGAAATTATCCCAAATGATATTTATCTTTGTATGTATATGTCTATGTATAGATGTTTTAAAATAACCTATATTTTTAGTGTGCCTGAAGATCGAATTCTACCTTTTAGTCTAAAAGACAACTTTTGGGAAATGGGTCTAGTAGGACCATGTGGTCCGTGCACAGAAATTCACTATGATCATATTGGAAATACAAATAGAGCTGGATTTGTTAATAAAGACTTACCTGATCTAGTCGAAATTTGGAATATAGTTTTTATCGAATATAATAGGTAAGCCTTTTTTATGATTATTACTATTGATTAGATGTGATACTCTAAACATTTTTTGGTTGTTTTGGTATTACTATAGAATAATGACTTATCACGCTATTGCATTGTATTCTTTTAGGTTATCTGATGGCAGCATTTCGAAACTTCCTCAAAAACATGTAGATACAGGCATGGGCTTTGAAAGAATTACATCAGTTTTGCAAGGAGAAATCAGTAATTACGAAACTGATAACTTTAGTTATTTACTAAAGGCTATCACAAAGGTATTTTTGCTCTTTTTAGTCATAATCATATACATTGTTTAAAAATATGTCAAACTTAGAATTGTAGGGGTATACCTGATTATTCAAATCTCTTTGGTGAACAAGACCTGAATGATTTAAATAAGTCATATAGAATACTAGCTGATCATACTAGAATGATAACTGTGGCATTAGCTGATGGTATGATACCTGAAGAGAAGTAAGTATATATCTTTGGTTATTCTTTTTTATCTCATGATTTTTTAAAGTTTACCCTACAGCACACATTTTTAAGTTGAAATAAGTGATGGATTTAACTGTTACTTTATGGAAATTCAATTTATCTAACAATAAAACGTAGAAATCTTTTGTTTTTAAAACTTCCACAAAATATCAAAAATTCAAAAATATTAAATTCAATAGAACAGAAATATCTCAATATTATGAAACCACAGGTTACTAAATTATACTCTTTTATAAAACTGCACAACTTATTATGCAGGGCAAAATCCGAGGAAAGCGAAATGTGGGAAGACGAAGAATATCCTGGCTTAAGAACTTAAGGGAATGGTTTGAATGCAGTAGTGCAGAACTTTTTAGAGCGGCAGTCAACAGAGTCCGCATAGCCATGATGATTTCCAACCTTCGATAGAAGATGGAACTTAAAGAAGAAGAATAAAACTGCATCAACCTGATCACCCAATAAGACCTGTAGTTTCTTGTTATACAGATCCATAATATAAACTAAAAAAAAACTATTAGAGATTATTTTAGAATGATCTTCGGGGTCTACATTTTTTCCTCCTTCCTATTGGGCTCCAATCGGAAATCTTTGCTATCCACCTTGTATGATCTGTTCTTCTCACATGTCCACACCAAATTAAACGTTTTTCTTCGATGTAGTTGAGTATGTCTTGTTCTACTGCCATTCTTCGTTTTATCTCCTCATTTCTGATGCGATCTATTTTTGTCACTCTGCAGCTTCTTCTCATGAACTCCATTTCAGTTGCTGTGATTTTGGACCTGTTTCGTTTATTTATTACCCAATTAATCTACTATTACCCAATTAATCTATTTATTACCCAACAACTTCCAGATACCATTAAATATCATTACAAAGCACGTGGTGTTCGTGTGTATTAAGGTATAAAAACGCTTATTAAAAGCTTAAATTTTTTTTATTATAAAGAAGATCTTTTCGGAATTGTATCATTCCATCATCAGTTTACTAAAAGAGAGAGTAAAAATACCAATATTAAAAACAACAAAGTTAAAATTTGAACATACAAAAAGAGAAAGTTGGTTTTTTACTACTTACATAAAAAAGGTTGTTAAAAACATTGTGTGGCCACATAAAAACATTCGGTGGACATCTGGATTTAAAAATTAATATTCTTCGTGTTATTTATGCAGGTAAATGCAATAGACTCTTGACTTGTGTAGTATAAAAAATGAAACTGGGGGCATCTTATATGACCCCCTGTAGTTGGTGAAGTTTTATTGACTTACATTACCTCTGATCTGTGTTGGAGTCTAGGGCTAACTGATAGAAAGATGGTATGAAAAATCAGTTAGTACCCGTCAATGTCAAGAGGAATGATGTGGTAGGAGCAAAGTCATTGTGCTTAAGTTTGTGAGTAGGCAGTTTTTAGTGAAGAAATGTGTTTTGTGTGTAGTAAGATCATAAGTAATTTTTGGTATTTTAAAAAACTGATGGGAGAATATAAATCAATGCGTGACTATGATGCAAAATAAATCGGTATACCGAGGTAGGGAAAAAATTTTATGTAATTTAAGTGGTTAAAATTAATAAATCATTTTAAATGGGGTGAAAAGGATGTTATTACCTAATTGTATCGTTGTATTAAATGAGTATATATAAAAGATGGATTATAATTTATGGAAGATGAGTCGAGGAAAAGAAAAAGAAATAAACGAGAAAGTAAGAAAAGGAAATAGAAAGTGAATGTGACGATGTAAGCTGGGGAAATTGAAACTGATTGTGATAAGAGGTAGAAGGATGTAAAATGAATATTTATAAGGAAATGTGTATGATTGTATGTGTATGATTAAATGAATATATATAAAAGTAGGATTGTAATTTATGGAAGATGATTAGAGGAAAGAACAAGAAAAAAGAAATTAACGAGAAAGCAAGAAAAGGAAATAGAAGGTGAATATAGCGATGTAAACTGGGGATATTAAAACTGATTGTGAAAAGAGAATAATAGATGTAAAATGAATAATTATAAAAAATTGTGTATGATAAGTGATGGTAGTTATTGGAGAGGATGGGTGGTTGGAAATTGGCAAAGGGGTGATGTTAGTGTATTAATGGTGACAAGTATAGAGTTAAGTATGAATGATTATGTAAGTTGAAATTTAGCTATGGGAAATAAAAAGAAATGTAGAAGTGAAGTAAAATTGGATGGGTAGTTAAAAGAGAGAAAGTTAGTTTAGGAGAATAATTGTCGATGAAGTGGGACGAAGTCTCTGTTGATGCTGGTGTGACGATTAACACAATTGGGACTATTTTTCTTTTCCTTGACTATTTCCAAATCCTCAAAAAGGTCGAGTTTGAGATAATCTCTACCAGGGATGTTATGAAGAAGAGAAAATGATACTTCTCCATTGACCTCGGTCATCTGTTACATATACTGCCTCAGTATACTGTTTGTTGAGAAGCTTTTTTTTGTATATACACGCAAGATAACAAAACTGCCAAACACATAAAAAAGAAAGGAATAACACCAGCTAGCTTTTAGAACAAACAACTACTTAGATAAATGTATTACGAACAACAAGAGCCAAAAGAAAAACCACTTACATGGTGGTGTGTACAAACTAAATGTGGCGACTGCCCAAAAACTTACATCGGTCAAACTGATAACTTTTAACAAACGGATAGAAAAACATAAAAGCCTTGCCTGGGTAAGCCCTAACAATCATCTCCTAAGCACAGATCAAGATCGCAAATAAAGTCTCTTACTTCTGGAAAATTCGATGCTAGTTCATCTCTCTTGACACATCATTTTAAGTTAGTCTTTTGGTTAGATTTCATTAGTATTGAAAATATTATTTGTCAACGACCCAATCTTACAATCAATTATATATTGATTTTAATGAAGGCATCAATGCATAATGAAGTCATCAACTAATTTTAATCAATGATATTAAGCTTGTTTTACTGCCTTTAGGTACTCTAAAAATAGTTATACAGACAATAAACACATTAATTTATTTTAGCCAGAAACTAAGAAGAATCATGAGAAAGGTTTTCCTTCTGAGTGAAACGGTATTTAAAAAAGAAGCTGGCCTATTAAGAGAACTAACAAATTATGTTGTCGATGAGTTAGGCTCAGTATATCCGGAATTGGAGAAAAATATTTTTCAGGTAACGATCTAGAATAATTTGACACATCTTATATACTAAAAGGCTAAGCCCTTTTCTTGTGCGCAATACTCCTCCTAAACGGTGATAGATAGAAGAATAATTTTTTCGAATAATTAAACAGATTGTTGAGTAGATTCCCCATAAGGTTTCAAATTTAAAAAATTCGAACCGGTTTAAAAATGGCGGCCATAAAATGAATTTTTCCTATAGTAAAGTATAGGAATTTTACAGGTTCCATTCTTCAAAATTTAAAGTCCTAATTTTCAATGTATTTTTAAAATATGCCCGCGTCTACTTTTTTCTTATACTTACTGATTGAATTCAGAATTATGAAACCGAAAGTATTTACTTCCGGTAAGATATCCCAGCCTAACCTAACCTAACCTAAACTAAACTAACCAAATTGCAAACAAAAAAACCAACTTCGAATTTCAAGTACAAAATATTTATTAATTCATTTTAGTTGGAACATTTACACCAGGCGACGGAAACGATGGATCGTTAGACTCCGCCCCTCTTAAATATCAGCAAAACTTACATCAAAACTCGATGTCGAGTTGGTCCGTTAGTTATATATTTAAAGTATTGATTTGTGTATGAACTACTCGTCAGTATTTCTTTTATCAGCGTAACACTCATACCATTAACTATATTCCAATATTTTTCTCTACGCAGCATCAGTTTAACCAGCATCTTCATTGTGATCCTCCTCCAAAGACCTTATCACACCTCCGTGTTCCTTTTATCCAGCCGTCTCAGACAAACAGAGTATGATACGCAGTATCTTCAACTCTCTTTGATAATATACATACACGTCAGTCTCTTTCTTGCCAATCAGTTTCAGGTAAAAGTCGAAACAAAGATTTTCCGTGAACATCTGACTCAGACACGCTTAATACACCTTGTGGCCTCAATGAATATGATGATAGTCAGCACATGCTTTGAGCGTAAAAATATACGTTACAAAGGCACTTGGGTTAGCCCAGACGGTAATAGAATCAATCAAATTGACCATGTTGTTGTGGACGCAAGACATTACAGTGATGTTATGAATGTACGTACCAGACGTTGAGCAAACATTGACTCCGATCACTACCTGGTCCAGTATAAACTAAGGACACGAATCTCTAACGCAAAAAAGGTAAAAGGAAGCAAAGAAGATAATTTCGAGGTGCACAGACTACGAAACCCTGAGATAGTTAGAAAATTTGAACACAAACTTAAAGAAAAACTAGAAGACCAAATGAGTAGTAGTGTTGAAAACATAGATAATTACTGGAATGAGTGAGAAAATATCCTGAAAGAAGTAGCAACAACAGTTTTAGGAAAGAGGAAACAAGAAAGGAAGAGGATATAATGGTGTGATGCGGAATGCGCACAGGCATCTCAAAAAAGAATCAGGCGTATGGGAAACTCCAAAACAGAAGGACAAGACAAAATCAAGAGGAGTACAAACAGATGAGACAAGCAGAGAAAAAGGTACTAAAACAAAAGAAAAAACTACATTTAAAAAAACCAGCTACAGGAACTAGAAAGGCTCTGTTATGTTGTTTTACTTCCCGCTATGTGGGATTTTACTTTCGATTTAGTTGGATTGAATTGACTAAGGAACTACAGAAACATGCCTTTATTGTCTGACTTTTGGATTTACAATGTTGTTCTCAACGACGGTTAAGAACCAAGCCGACGTACAAACTTCGCGGTGCGCGGTTGTCGCGTCTATTAAAATAGAAATAAAACTGTCTTTAACATGCTCCCCCCATTGGAAACTTGCAGAAGTTTTCAATCTTCACTATCTTCTACTGGTAACGGGCAGATCTTGGCAACTGATCTGCGGATGATACCACTGGAGGTTCGGATGGAGGCGACTCTAACAATTTTGTCGCTACCTGGATGCAACTCTATGATGCGACCAAGCATCCATTTTAGTGGAGGTAAATGATCTTCCTTGATTACGACGAGTATGCCCTCCTTCACAGGTTGATTATGGTACTTCCACTTGGTTCGCCTTTGAAGCTCACTGACAAATTCTTGCGACCATCTTTTCCAAAAATGCTGGTTGATTTGCTGCACCAGCTGATAGCAAGAAAGACGGGATATAGGAATACTTTCGAGTGTTGGGTCAGGTATAGATGTCAAAGGTTGACCAATAAGGAAATGAGCTGGGGTTAGTGCTAAGGAATCGTTGGGATCATTGGATAGCGGACTTAAGGGTCGCGAATTCAGCACTGCCTCTATCTCAGTTAACAAAGTTGATAACTCTTCGTATGTAAAAATTATATTTTTTGTTACGCGTTTAAGGTGTAATTTTGCTGACTTGATACCTGCTTCCCAAAGCCCTCCCATGTGCGGCGAATAAGCTGGTATGAAGCTCCAGGACACACCGATATCGTTTAAAGACTCACCTAAGGTATTTTCGTTAGCGTATAAGAATTTTGATAACTCTTTGAGTTCATTATTTGCTCCGGTAAAATTAGTACCATTATCTGAGTGAATCTGCGACGGCTTACCTCGTCTGGCGCAAAACCTTCGAAACGCGGCCAAGAAGGCTTCCGTAGTCAGGTCACTTACGAGTTCCAAGTGAACCGCTTTAGTTGTGAAGCAAATAAATAGGCATAGATATGCCTTCCAAGATTTCACTCCTCGACCCTTTCTTTCCTTGAGTTGGAAAGGACCCGCGTAATCAACACCTGTTGTGTTAAATGGAGGAGCCGGAGAAACTCTAGCTTGTGGCAGGTTTCCCATAATAGGATTTGTTTGATATGGTTTAGCTCGGAAACAATCCACACAAGAACGAACAGTTTTTCTGGCCAAGCTTCGTCCAGATAGGGGCCAAAATTTATTTCGAATTGAGGACAATAAAAGTTGTTGTGATGCATGGAATAACCGAGTATGTTCATGTTCGAAAATGAGTTTGGTTAAAACATGTTTTTGGTGTAGTAAGATCGGGTGTTTTTTGTCATAAGAAAATGAAGAGGCTTGCAATCTTCCCCCAACTCTCAAAATGCCCTCCTGATCCAGAAAAGGGTTGAGATCGGAGCAACGAGATGTTTTGGGTAATGGTTTGTGATTTAACAAAGCTTGCCTTTCCTCTGTGAAACTTTCGATTTGAGCTAGTTTTGTCAAGGTTAAAAGAGCTTGATTGAGTTCGACTGACGTCAAGACCCCTACCTTTCGACCGGAACGTTTTGCCTTTAGATTAAAAATAAACCTATGTACATATGCCATTGTTCGCCTTAAACAATTGAACTTAGAAAAGTTCTTGAACGGAAAGGTTATGGCAGGATCAGTAACTAGAAATGTTACGGTTTGTTTACGAAGCTCTGGAATTGATGCCAACAGTTCTTGTTTATGACTTGGCCAAGAATCTGAAGACTGAGATAGCCATGGTGGACCAGACCACCAAAGGGACGATTTCAATAAGAATTGTGGGGTACACCCTCGCGATACGATATCTGCAGGGTTCTCTTTAGTTCTGATATAGAACCAACGATCTGGAGTTGTGGTCTGCTGAATCTGTGACACTCTGTGTTGAACAAATGTCTGTAAAAGATTAGGTTGCGTTTTGATCCAGCACAACACTACGGAGGAATCACACCAAAGAAAGATCTCGCTAATATCCAAATTCAAGGAAGCCTTTGTTTTCTTCACAAGCTGTGACAAAAGAAGCGCCCCACACAGCTCCAACTTGGGAATTGTTAGAGATTTTAAGGGAGAGACCCTAGACTTTGCACAAAGAAGCTTAACGTTAATATTACCAGAGAGATCAATGCTTCGTAAAAATATACACGCGCCATAGGCTTCCAGCGATGCATCGCAGAAACCATGGATTTCGATTTTGATAGGACATTCGCATATAATGTGTCTTGGAGTTTCACATTGATTTAGATGTTCTAGTTCTTGTCGGAACTTACACCATTTGGTATGTATTTCAGTTGGGAGTGATTCATCCCAACTAACTTTGATCATCCAAAGCTGTTGCATTAGTATTTTTCCCACTATAATGCAAGGACTGACTAGTCCAAGCGGGTCAAATATTTTAGATATGTCTGATAAAATGGACCTTTTACATACGGGTGCATCTGATTGATTTATTTTGATTTTGTAGGTCAAATTATCACCTTTGCAGTCCCAAAAGAGACCTAGTGTTTTAGTACCTTCGTAATCGCCGAGCTTTAATAAAGCTTCTGGGTTGGTAGCCTGAACATGGTTCAAAACGTTTTGATTATTAGATGCCCACTTTTGTAGTTGAAAGCAGCCTCTTTGTAGGATAATGTGTAGCTCATCACATAGCTGTTTGGCCTCACTTTCAGTGGAACAACCAGTGAGTACATCGTCCATATAAAAGTCTTCCAGTATAACCTTCGAAGTTTTAGGAAACTGAACTGAGCTTTCTGAAGCCAATTCCTTGAGGCAACGGACGGCTAACCATGGTGCCGAAGCAGTGCCGTACGTAACCGTATTTAACTGGAATGTTTGAATATTGTCTGTCGACTCATCCCTCCAAACAATACGTTGTAAAGGGCGTTGATTTAACTGAACCAGGATCTGGCGATACATTTTAATGATATCTGCACAAAGCACTATTGGGTATTGCCTAAATCTTAACAAGATAGAGATAAGATCTTGTTGGATTGTAGGGCCTATTAGTTGGATATCATTAAATGACAGACCGGACGTCGTTCGACAAGAGGCGTCGAAAACGACTCTAAGTTTTGTCGTTTGATTACTTTCGTTGAACACGCCATGGTGAGGGAGAAAGTATTCTACCTCTGGCACTTTCGAGGTTTTGACCTTAGACATATGACCAAGATTATAATATTCCATCATAAAATCGGTATACATTGATTGTAACTTTGGATTTTTTGATAGACGTCTTTCTACCGAATTCAATCGGCTTATGGCAGTTTGCTTGGATTCTCCAAGAAGAGCTGGAGAGTCCTTTAAAGGGATTTGTACCACAAAACGTCCACTTTCGTCCCTAGACGTGGTTTTGGTGA